CAATGGTATACAATATCTCAGTATATAACCAACATAAAATTTAAAAAAACAACAACAAAAAAACCAGTTAAATATGATACGGTAACGTTGAAATATCTTATTTTCTTATATAATTTCATAACACATGGATATCAAATATTGCCGCGCCTGTCTCTCACTGACAATGTTGTCTACATAAGAAGTACGGTGGCCGAGTGGTTAAGGCGTTGGACTTAAGTTCCAATGGAGCTCTCTCCGCGTGGGTTCGAACCCCACCCGTACTAGATATTTTTTGAGAAATGTTTTCAAATAAGAAATTAACTTGTAACATTTTAGCTCTAGTGCCGGATACACGCACTGTTCACACGTTGTACAAAATGGCTAGACGTGATAGAAATCGTAGGTCTTCATCACCTGTATACACTACGTGAAAAACGTATTTATCTGATCCTGTTGAGGAATTAGCATAGAATGGAAGTGGGGAGGTCACTGCCCGGGTGGAGGATAGCTGTCAAGCTACAACGGCAAAGGGCGTAGGAGGGCAAACAATGCCCCACCGGCCAGTGACCCGTATGGGAAAGGCTGCATTCCAGATGCCTTTACAAAACTACTTGTAACCTTTAGGTAGGCTAATCCCTCGCTTAGAGGTTAAAGCGGATTACAGAAACATTAAACGATAATTTACAAACCTTGGATGAAAGAGAAGGAAGACCTTTAAATAGAAGGAGAAAGACGTTGGATGGCCAACACCGAAAGGAAGCTACACAACTGAGACTTCTTAACTCTAAATTCGCAACAAAGATAGTAACATGGAATGTGAGATCTATGTATATTCCACGAAAAGCGCAAACCATCGCAAATGAAATGAAAGCATATGAAATAGGTATGCTAGGAATAGCAGAAGCAAGATGGAATGATGCAGGACAATCACAACTATCATCAGGAGAGGTGATTATAAATTCTGGACACATGGAGGAGAACGCCCAACATTCTGAAGGTGCTGCAATCATGCTATCAAAAGAAACTCAGAAAACATTAATTGGATGGGAACCAATACGTGCCAGAATCATCATGTCAAAATTCAAAACCACACATAAAAGAATATCATTAAACATCTTCCAATGCTATGCTCCTACAAATAGCGCAGAGGGCGACATCAAAGAGGAATTATATCGTATGCTAGAAGAAACCAACAGGAAATGTAGCTCAAAAGACATCACCATTTTAATGGGAGACCTAAATGCTAAAGTAGGAAGTGACAACACTGGTTATGAACAAGTGATGGGACGACATGGACTAGGAGAAATGAATGAAAATGGAGAGCTCTTTGCCAAACACTGTGCAAATCACAATCTTGTCATTGGTGGAACAGTATTCCTACACAAAAAAGTCATCTAGCAACATGGGTATCTCCAGACATGAAAATCAAATAGACCTTGTCTGCATCTCCAAGAAGTTTAGGAGAAGTTTACAAGATGTCCGAGTTAAAAGAGGAGCAGACGCTGCCTCTGACCATCACCTTATTGTGGCAAAGGTAAAACTGAAGTTAAAGAAACACCAAAACAACACAACAACAGGTAAACGATTTAACATTTCAATGTTGGCCAACAAAACAAAGAAATCAGAATTCCAAATAGAACTAAAACATCGCTTCTCAACATTTCAGAATGCAACAGAGAAAACAGTCACAATGGAAGATCACTGGCAAGAGATTAAAGAAGCTTTCACGACAGCTTGTGAAACATCAGTTGGTTTGAAAAATAGGAAACATCACTTGTAAAAGTGGAAGAAAGGAAAAATATAAAAAAATATCCTGAACAACAGCAAAACAAGATCAACAAAACAAACAGCCTCAAGAGCGTACACTATAGCTAACAAGGAGGTCAGGAACAGTGCAAGGAAAGATAAGAGGGCCTTTGTAGACAAACTAGCAGCAGAAGCAGAAGAAGCAGCCAGAGCAAACAACATCAAAGCTCTGTATGACACCATAAAACTGCTAACCGGGAAATATCAGAAAGGATGTAGACCGGTAAAAAGCAAAGAAGGGAAAACACTTAACACACATGAAGAGCAAATGAAACGATGGGTTGAGCATTTCAGAAATGTGCTAAACAAAGAGCCACCGGTAAATAAAGCTGACATTCCACCCTCTGAAGAGCTTTTGGCAGTTGACTGTAAAACACCATCTAAAGGAGAAAACAAGAAAGACATAAAAATGCTGAAGAACAACAAAATTCCAGGTCCTGACAACATACCTGCAGAAGCATTGAAAGCAGACATTGAAAAATCAACTCAAATGATATATGAACTGTTTGGAAAGATCAGGGAAGAAGGAGAGGTCCCTCTAGAATGGAAAGAAGGACACATGGTAAAGCTTGCAAAGAAGTGCAATTTAAGCATTTGTGACAGTTATAGAGGAATAATGCTACCATGAGTTCCAGGGAAATTGTTAAATAGAGTTATATTAAATCGACTCAAAAATGCAATAGACAAAAAGCTTCGTGACAACCAAGCTGGATTAAGACAAAACAGATCATGTGCAGACCAAATAGCAACTTTACGCATCATCCTCGAACAATCACAAGAGTTCAATTCATCGCTCTATTCTGTTTTTGTCGACTTTGCCAAAGCCTATGACAGCTTAGATAGAGATGTGTTGTGGCAGCTGATGAGACACTATGACATTCCTGAAAAATTATTACCATCATCAGACACACCTACACAGGAATGCAGAGCAAGATCATTCATGAAGGTCAACTAACGGAGGCCTTCGATATAACAACTGGGGTAAGACAAGGCTGTCTCCTTTCACCTATGCTATTCCTCCTGGCGGTTGACTTGATCATGAAGCAAGCCACAGATGGGAGAAGAAACGGTATCCAATGGACCATGTTCACCCAGCTGGATGACCTAGACTTTGCCGATGGCATTGCCTTGCTGTCCCACGACCACCAACAAATGCAGGGCAAACTAGCACAGGTTAAAAAGGAGAGCTGCAGAAACGGGCCTATCTATCAACTACAAAAATACCAAAGTTTTAAAGTCAAACACAAGGACCCGAGCAAGTCTGATGGTTAACATCCAAGCTTTAGAAGAAGTGGATTCCTTTACATACCTTGGAAGCCTAGTGGACAATCTTGGTGGCTCAGGTAGAGATGTAAAAACCAGAATTGGCATTTAATATGATGGGAACCATTTGGAAAGCAAGAAACATCACTCTAAACACCAAAGTACGCTTGTTCAATTCCAATGTAAAAGACATACTTTTATACGGAGCTGAGACTTGGAAAACAACAAAAGAACTGCTTCATAAACCTCAAGTCTTTATCAACAACTGTCTCAGGCGAATCCTTAACATCAGATGGCCTGAGAAGATATCAAACCAAGATCTGTGTGAAAAGACCAACCAGTCCCCAGTTGATGAAGAGTTGAAAAAGAGAAAGCGGAGATGTATAGGGCACACACTGAGGAAGCCAAATAACAGCATTACCAGGCAAGCCTTACAGTGGAACCCACAAGGAAAGCATGGCAGAGGCAGATCCAGATACACCTGGAGAAGAAACGTTGCAGCCGAGATGGAGAAAGAAGGATACAAGTAGCATGATCTGGAGAGGCTAGCTAAAAACGAAACAAGGTGGAGGAATATCGTTAGTGGCCTATGCTTCAACAAGGGGCAAAAGGATTAGACAAAAGTAAGCATCATAAAATGGAATACACTGCACTACTCCTCGAACCAACGGTGTGATTAACGCCATAATAAACCTAACAGCTGGCTTAAGATTACTTTATTTACCAATACCACCGTACTTTGACGTCGTTATTACATTACAGCTGCTCTTAGAGTACGTTATATAGCTGATGGGGCATTTGTAGGGCGTCACACAGCCAAAAAAAATACTAAAGAAAACGTGATCAAGCTGATTTCGTGTTTAACGATGCTGTTAACATTTTGGCTATCGTAGTATTAATTCAGACGTGCGTACTATTAAAATGACATATTTATACCGTGCTCACATTGTCTTTCTGTCTGTCTGATATCTTCATCAGGAAGTCAAGGTTTAAGAAATTCGCAAATAAACAAATAAAGTTTTGCTTTCAGTTGCCTTATTATTGTCAATATAAATGCCAATTGGAAAAGGCGATTTCCACGAAGAGAACGTTTCGCGTTTTATTGGTAAATTTTATCTTTCCCTAAAATATTGGTTATTTCTATTCAACCTCGCAATTTTACCTGGATCGTTACTCAATGAATCAATGGTATACAACATCTCAGTATATAACCAACATAAAAATTTGTTAAACAACACACAAAAAAAACCAGTTAAATATCATACGGTAACGTTGAAATATCTTATTTTCCTATATAATTTCATAACACATGGACATCAATTAATGCCGCGCGTGTCTCCCACTGACAATGTTATCTACATAAGTACGGTGGCCGAGTGGTTAAGGCGTTGGACTTAAGTTCCAATGGAGCTCTCTCCGCGTGGGTTCGAACCACACCCGTACTAGGTATATTCTTTTTTAAGATTTTCAAATGAAAACCCATTGCAACATCCTAGCCCTATTGCCATATTCACGCACCGCTCATACGTCGAGAAAAATGGCTCAGTGTTACGTTTTTATCCCATTGTACAAACATCGATCCGCCAAGCAATGGGCGATCATATATACTAAGTATTAAGTTAAGGTTGTGTTAGTAGTGAAGTATAAGTGGGGATAGTAATGTTAGCTGTTCAGTTTAGAAATAGTGTTAGTTTTGTTAGTATACAAATAGTACTATAGATGTAGGTTTGCAGTTGTGGCATAGCATTGGTGTTAGCTATGGTGAAAGTTACAGTGGTAATAACAGAATAGTGGTGTAAGCAGGTAAGTAGCAGTGATTGTACTAGAAGTGTAGGTCGCCGTAGTTAAGCATAGTGTTACATTGTTACGTGAACATCGTATATTTGTCTTTTGAGAAATTCAACGAATTATCGCAAAATCAAACGGAAAATGGATTACACGATAGTCTACTCCCCGAAACAAAAACGGTGTGATTATCACCATAACAAACGTAGACGTGCGTATGGTATACATTACATAAGCACACCCACTGCAGTTGTGTAAATCTGTCTGTCCAATTACAACCACGCTAACAATGTAACACTATGCTTAACTACGGCGACCTACACTTCTAGTACAACTACTGTTACTTACCTGCTTACACCACTATTCTGTTATTAACACTGTAACTTTCACCATAGCTAACACCAATGCTATGCCACAACTGCAAACCTACATCTATAGTACTATTTGTATACTAACAAAACTAACACTATTTCTAAACTGAACAGCTAACATTACTATCCCCACTTATACTTCACTACTAACACAACCTTAACTTAATACTTAGTATATATGATCGCCCATTGCTTGGCGGATCAATGTTTATACAATGGGATAAAAACGTAATATTGAGCCATTTTTCTCGACGTATGAGCAGTGCGTGAATATGGCAATAGGGCTAGGATGTTACAATGGGTTTTCATTTGAAAATCTTTAAAAAAAAATACCTAGTACGGGTGGGGTTCGAACCCACGCGGAGAGAGCTCCATTGGAACTTAAGTCCAACGCCTTAACCACTCGGCCACCGTACTTCTTGCATACCATGATTGGTATATAATTTGTCACTGACAGACGCAGTATATTGTGTTATCTTATATAATACGTAATATGTTGTTATATATATTTATGTAATTGATGTATTTAAACGTAACCTTAGTATCTTATGCTGAATAGAAATTATTTCCAGAATCTTTGTTGATAATTGATTTATGCGTACAATGTACTTTCAAGCGTTCAGATAATATTCTCTCAATAAAACTATCTCCGTTCTACCTTATTTAGAGAAGCTACATAAATGAAGTAATTATATAAATGTAAACTGAAAAATAATAATTTGTGTGAAAAGGTAAATTCCAAATGTGCTATGGATGCATGATTTGAAACGAAATTAAATTGCAAAATATGACATAGATATCAAAGATTTTTATGATAAAAGTGCTAAATTTGAACTTTTATTTAATATCTCATTATATTCGGTATTTGGCGTATTTTAAACTACCAATTTTTTAACTTTCATTAATGTATTCCATCGTGTGACATAAATATAATTAATATCCTGGAACTATTTTGTGTAAATTGTTTCTCCTTATCTTGTGTCAATTTAAATAAGTTCTATCAGGAAGCTTTTTCTTTGAAGTCGACTTGTATAATTCGTTTGAACCATTGTTGTCAGATTGACCTATGCATCGTATACCATTTACGCTTATTAACTGGTATTATACCAGATCGGACTCTGTATTCAGTCTCAGACAAAGGACAGCTAAATTGGCTTACCTGGTCAGGTACGGCCTAGGTCTGAAAGGCCGATTGCTATGAATGGCATATGTCACTCAAAAACTAATTACTTAATTGCCATTGTGTAATGTGCTTAGGACATGATTATGATTTGTAAGTCCAGTTAGGACCTAGAGATCGGACTGCACGGGTGTGTTTTTGGATACTCCAGAAATCACCCACCGACTTAGAGAAAGTTTTTTCTAATAAATATATATTTGGACCAGAGATGGCTTTATACGTCTCTGTTTGGACCATACAACATCTCCAGTACTTTTCAAATTAGATAACAACACCCCACAACAGTGTTGTTATAGATCAGAGGAAAAATATGCATATTCATGTGTATCAAACGAGGAAACTCCTTATTTAAGACAACAACCAGAGTGATATGAATACAGCGGCAACGGGAGAGATCGTCAAAAAGAAAGAGTAGATTAGGCAAGAAAAGACAGAGATCCACGTGTCGGGGTCAGCAGGTCAACGCGGTCTCTGTAATGTCTCGTAACCACAGAATAACACAAATTTAGACTAGTTGCATTGCACCATAACTACAACATGTCTATTTCTCCAACGAGACACGGAAGATGAAAAATAACATGATCTGCAGGAGAGGCAGGGTGAGGGAGGGGGAGGTGTTCTCCCTGTACGATATTCCAAGAAAGGTAAACATTTGGGTTATTTTGTCGATATTAATATCAACCTGAAAACCAATAAAACGTGAAGCGTTCTCTTTATAGATGACTTTTCCAGTTTACAATAATATTGACAACAATATGCCAACATAATGAACAAGTTGATGTATTCTGTTACAAAAACTGGGTAGTAAAATATTGATCTACAAAATGTGCAACAGATTTATCTATCTTCACGATTTCGGGTGAAGCATTGGTTTCGCTTTAGCCAACTCCACTGGGTTTTTTCTTGTAATATACATTTCCATAAGACCTGCACCTTTCCCGTCTCGCTTTGTGATTGTCAATGTTTCAGCAGATCTTACGTTTGTCCATTGTGGGGAAAAGTGAAACATCCATTCCGTGATACTATACTATTTTATGTTGTTTCTTAGTTTCATAGAATTTGCAGTAATGTGTATTTACACATGTGCTATGGCTATCAACATACCTAAACTACAATCATCTTCCGGTATGTATTTGAAACTCAAAATCACTGTTAATCATATTAATCATTACTCCACGAGTATTCGATAAAAAGGAAACAAACAAACACTTGTTCCCCACTGCCCTTCTATTGCGTGTTGAATGTGTTATAATAGTTTCATACATCTGACATGACCTTTATTTAGACAGTGGCGCTAACAGCAGCTATTCCTATTTTGTCATCCATGTATCCTATCTGAGTTGAGCACTATGTATACTGTTTGATATGTTCTAGATGATCAGTTCAAAGAAAGTACACAAATCTACAATTAACGGTATCATATTACTTGGGGAAAGTGTTTAATCCTAATTTCTTAATTAACTAAAAACAGGTTTTTTTAAAATGTCGTCTCTGCAGTCTAAACAAATCTTAATATTTTTATGCAACCTGATATAGATGGTACCCAGAATTCCTAGCTACGCGGATGTGACGTTTTTGGTTCGCGTAGCGGTGTAATTTCGATTGATTGTTATCAAAAATCCATCTCCGCTCGTATGGTGTTTAGTGCCTATTAGGTAAGGATAAAGAGAAGATATTCTTGAATTTCTTAATGGTTGAAAATGATATTTTACGAGTAAGGTGAATATTTTATATTTTTTTACGAAAGCGAAGCGCGAGTGAAAAGTATGAAAAAGTGTTCAACCCACGAGTGAAGTATAGCTCGTATTCATCCAGAAACCAATTGCAAGAAATTCCATTTATTACGGTTTTCGTTACAAAGACACGGGCTTCCGTGAACAGATAATCCACCCCAGTCTAAATGATTGTCTTCCTCGTTTACGGAATCCTGCCGTGGAGCGATATCGGCAGGTATGGTTTAGGTTTGTTTGTGCTTTTCGTCCTTTTAACAGTTATAATCATTTAGGATGCTGCAATAATTTGGTGGTAGCGGCAGACCGGAGTACCCGTAGATAAATCACCGAGGCGACCTACCCCAGTGGCCCGGCCCCGGCAGATACGTCAGTCAGCTGAACGAACGTCGTTCGCATTCTTTACCGTTGTATTCATCCCATCTGTTGACGTACCTCTGTAGGATCTGATCGTGTAACATCGCCTTTTCTCTGTATGAAACGTCGTTTCGATTTATTACTCTGTTTATTGTCCAGGCAAAACTGTATTTACCACGGGGCTATAAAATAGCAGAAAGAAAACCGCCTTTTGAATGAATTCCCTTTTATCGCGTAGAGCTACGTTTATTCCTACAGGTTCCTTTTTGTATTGTTTGAGAGCGTTGCGTTGTTTCTCAGTACAGCGGAAGACACAACTAGTGCAAAAAAAAAAATGAAAAAAAATCCGAACTGTCATCTGATTTACCTACGATTGCATTCGTTAGACTTATCTTGATAAAAAATCTAAATTAAAATAGCAAGTTTTTACGCCATAGACTTTTCGTCCGCCATCGTACGCGATTGCAAAAATAGACTACCGACTTATACATTGTTTTATAGTTCTTCTTAATGATCAGAAAATCAGTGACGTCATAGAGTGTAAAACGTGTAAATTAAGACACGGACTTAGATCTAATCTAATTCCATGATTAAGGCGACAATCTGATTTATTTTACAGATATTTACAACGGAAAAATCGTTTCACTTTCCTATTAGTTTAGTATATTTGCACATGTGGGAACGTAATTTGGAATGCATTGTTCTTTCAACAGACCCGCTCCAAGTTAACACAACTATAGAACGTTTTACTAACTGTACTGCACTAAGTACTGGTCTGTGAGCGCTCGTGATCTATACGGTAACACGACGCTATGGTCTATGTGCCCGACTTTAATCCTGGCTTATCTAGTATCTACTGGTTATGTTAATCTATTGTAACTGAGTATTTGTCGTAGTGATATATCATAGTATTTAACCTTATGTTCACAGTCCACATCTACTCCATACTGTCAACACACTTGACTTGAGAAGCACGCTAGATTACACAGGAGCGACCCATTTAGTACGTTACCCTAACGCACGCATATAGGAATATATGCTAAAGATTGTTCTCATTCCTACGTGTTCATATTTCCTAGAGATTATGTCTCAACTGTAGCCCAGCTTTTGACCTGAACAGCGTACGCGGTGGAAACTGGAGATTGTGTATACAAATATTGACTGTTTCCGCGGCCTTGTGCGGAACCTTTTCCAATCGGGCTGATAAAGCGGCGAAGCAGCACAGATGAGTGTATGGTAGAATCTGTACCCTGCGCTAGTGGACTGGGGCGGTCATGCTGCCCAGAACACACAGATAAAGCTTAATCATAGGTAAGTAATACGTAAAACAACTGAATCCTTCATTGTTATCAGTGTTTTCTATAATATGGATGTAAAACTATTTGTCTTGCATTATCACGTATTTGCATAGTTTTAATCAACGATTCTTGCACTAAATCGGATTAAGCATAGCTAAGGTGCAGGTAGGTAGAATTTGTCATCATGTGTTTACGTTTTGAGATATTTGTAAAGAAATAATACCATTTGTTTACTTGCTTTAAATAAACCAGCGTTTTGACATGGTGTATACACAATACATACTATCTCAAATTACTTCATTGAGAAATTAAAGTTAGAGCAAAGCGGCGATAACAAAACCTACTCGTAAACATGACTGGCAAATTTAAAACTTATTTTTAGCAAAAAAGGCAAAGAAAACCAGTGAAGCGGACCGGAGTTCACTGTAATAAATATACGCTCCCCTGAAGACAATTAAGAACGGGTTTATTGCAGCTTGAGGAAAGTTATTTAAATCAGGTGTGTCCCCCTTATTGACACCAGAAGGAAGTACTGAATATTGATAAGGCTACCGACCTAGAATCGAGGTTACTCTACTACACAGGAATGTCATACATCGACAGCCCATACGCTTCCCTTGTGATGGAGATGCATGGTCCCTATAGGGACCATCACCCCTTTACCCAATCCTTATGGACCATATACCGGTACCTCCATCGCTAGGTACCATCATTCATCACATTCATCACTAGGGACCAGCACCCTAATTCTCCATCATTAGGGACCATCACCCCAATCCCCATCACAAGGGGACTATCACCCCAATCCCCACCCACCATCCCGATTCTCTATCACAAGGGGGCCATCACCTCAATTCTCCATCAATAGGGACCATCACCACGATTCTCAATCACTAGGGACCATCACCCCAATTCTCCATCACTAGGGACCATCACCCCGATTCTCAATCACAAGGGGACCATCACCCCAATTCTCCATCACTAGGGACCATCACCACGATTTTTCCCTCACTAGGGACCACCACCCCGATTCTCTATCACTAGGGATCAATACTTTTTACCTTCATCACTATGGACCATCACCCCAATTCTCGATCACAAGGGGACCATCACCCCAATTCTCCATCACTAGGGACCATCACCCCAATTCTCCATCACTAGGGACCATCACCACGCTTCTCCCTCACTAAGGACCACCACCCCGATTCTCTCTATCACTAGGGATCATTACTTTTTACCTTCATCAATATGGACCATCACCCCAATTCTCGATCACAAGGGACCACCACCCGAATTCTCCATCACTAGGGACCATCACCCCAATTCTCCATCACTAGGGACCATCACCCCGATTCTCCCTCACTAAAGACCACCACCCCAATTCTCTATCACTAGGGATCAATACTTTTTACCTTCATCAATATGGACCATCACCCCAATTCTCGATCACAAGAGACCACCACCCCAATTCTCCATCACTAGGGACCATCACCCCGATTCTCCATCACTGGTGACCATTACGTTTTACCGTCATCACTAAGGACCATCACCCCAATTATCCATCACTAGGGACCATCACTCCTCACAACCATCGCTATAGGGACCATAACCCCGACTCTTCATCACTAGTAACCATCACCCTAATTCTCCATCACTAGGGGCCATCACCCCAATTCTCCATCACTAGTGATCACCACCCTAATTCTCCATCACTAGGGACTATCACTCCAATTTTCCATCACTTGTAACCATCACTCCAATTCTCCATCACTAGAAACCATCACCTCGATTCTCCATCACTAGGGACCATCACCCCATTTCTCCATCACTAGGGGCCATCACCCCATTTCTTCATCACTAGTGATCACCACCCTGATTCTCCATCACTAGGGGCCATCACCCCATTTCTCCATCACTAGTGATCACCACCATAATTCTCCATCACTAGGGACCATCACTCCAATTCTCCATCACTTGAAACCATCACCCCAATTCTCCATCACTAGTGATCACCACCCTGATTCTCCATCACTAGTAACCATCACCTCAATTCTCCATCACTAGTAACCATCACCTCAATACTCCATCACTAGTAACCATCACTCCAATTCTCCATCACTAGTAACCATCACCTCGATTCTCCATCACTAGGGACCATCACCCCATTTCTCCATCACTAGTGATCACCACCCTGATTCTCCATCACTAGGGAACATCACTCCAATTCTCCATCACTAGTAACCATCACTCAAATTCTCCATCACTAGTAACCATCACCCCGATTCTCCATCACTGGGGACCATCACTCCTCACATTCATCGCTATAGGGACCATCACCCCAATTCTTCATCACTAGGGACCATCACCCCAATTCTCCATCACTAGGGACTATCACTCCAATTCTCCATCACTAGTAACCATCACCCTAATTCTCCATCACTAGGGGCCATCACCCCAATTCTCCATCACTAGTGATCACCACCCTAATTCTCCATCACTAGGGACCATCACCCCGATTCTCCATTACATGGGGACCATCACCCCAATTCTCAATCACAAGGGGACCATCACCCTAATTCTTCGCAAAAGACATTAAGAACGGGTTTATTGCAGCTTGAGGGAGGTTATTTAAATCAGGTGTCCCCTTTATTGACACCAGAAGGAAGTACTGATATAACCGACAATAGAACTGTATGTATATTGATAAGGCTACTGACCTAGAATCGAGGTTACTCTACTACACAGGAATGTCATACATCGACAGCCCATACGCTTGCCTTGTGATGGAGATGCATGGTCCCTATAGGGACCATCACCCCTCTACCCAATCCTTATGGACCATATACCGGTACCTCCATCGCTAGGGACCATCACCCCTCTCCCCAATCCTTATGGACCATTTACCGGTACCTCCATCGCTAGGGACCATCATTTATCACATTCATCACTAGGGACCATCACCCCTCTCCCCAATCCTTATGGACCATTTACCGGTACCTCCATCGCTAGGGACCATCATTCATCACATTCATCACTAGGGACCAGCACCCTAAATCTCCATAATTCGGGACCATCACCCCACTCCCCATCACAAGGGGACTATCACCCCAATCCCGATCACAAGGGGACTATCACCCCAATCCCGATCACAAGAGGGGCTTTAACCCCAATTGTCCATCACTAGGGACCATCACCCCGATTCTCCATCACTAGAGACCATCACACCGATTATCCATCACTAGGGACCATCACTCCAATTGTCCATCACTAGGGACCATTAACCCAATTGTCCATCACTAGGGACCATCACCCCGATTCTCCATCACTAGAGACCATCACACCGATTATCCATCACTAGGGACCATCACTCCAATTGTCCATCACTAGGGACCATCAACCCAATTGTCCATCACTATGGACCATCACCCCGATTCTCCATCACAAGGGACCATTACGTGTACCGTCATCACTAGGGACCATCACCCCAATTCTCCATCACTAGGGACCATCACTCCTCACATTCATCGCTATAGGGACCATCACCCAAATTCTCCATCACTAGGGACCATCACCCCAATTATCCATCACTAGGGACCATCACTTCAATTTTCCATCACTAGGGACCATAACCCCGACTCTCCATCACGAGGGACCATCAACCCAATTCTCCATCACTAGGGAGCACTCACCCCAATTCTCCATCACTAGGGACCATCAACCCAATTCTCCATCACTAGGGACCATAACTCCGACTCTCCATCACTAGGGACCATCAACCCAATTCTCCATCACTAGGGACCATCACTCTAATTCTCCATCACTAGGGACCATCAACCCAATTCTCCATCAC